GCGCACAAACTCAAAGTGAGCCGCAGTGAGTTGCCCCAACGAAAAAAACTAGAACAAAAGAAAAGAAATGGAAACCCCGCAATGTCCCTCCCAAAATTAAATGAAAACAAAAAACGAACTCACTTCGGGAGGTGTTGTTCCTTCACGTGTCCAGCAGCACAAGAGGACTGTGAGAGAGAGCGTGTGTGTATATTTAATACCTGCGTGAATGAAAAAGCAAAAGAGGTTGCTTCAGGCCACGCATGCCTCTCCCAATTCATGCGGTGCTTGGCCTGCGCTTCTACCGGCAGCTGCGTCAAAACCCCTGCGGCGCACAGCAATGCGGCACGCAGCGCCTGTGTGTGTGTGTGCGTGTGTGTGTGTTCGTGGCAGGAGAAAAAAAAAGAGGGATAAGTGTGCGCCGCCAATGGCAGGGCGTATAGCAAGTGATCTTCAGAGAAACGAAGGAAAATAAAAAAAGCGCACACAGGGTGTTGGTTATTCCAGCAAAGCCCAAAAAAGCAAGGAGGAGGGGATTAGGCAAAAGAATGAAAACAAAACAGGATATATAAACGAAGAGGGCCGCATGGATTTGCGGCGCACACTCTCCACGAGGAGTAACAAATCTACTCTCCCTCTATTGCCTTCAGCATAGAGCCGTCGTGCCCCACATCCCCAGCAGGGCAAGCAGCAGCAGCCGAGGCAAGCACCCACGCACGGCGCCGTCGCCGCCTGTGTTCATCGGGAACGGCCCTGTGGTGTTCTTGAAGGCAGCGGAGTTGTTGCTTAAGTGCGGTGCAGCGTCGCGTGTTGGCGGGCTGCCTGGCCGCCCAGGCGCCGGAGCCGTGGGTGCCGTGGCGGCGTTGCTGGGTGCCTCGTGGCCGCCGTCCGCGTCCGCGCCCGCCGCAGTTTGGGGGTCGGCGCCATTTTCCTTGGCGACAGCGTTTGGCGTCTCGCCGGTGGGCGCGGCGGAAGCAGACGGCACGCCGCCAACAGTCTCTGGCGCGTGCGACGGAGCGCCCTGCTGCGCCTGGCCGTCATCCACCGGGTCCGCCGCGGCCGCACCGTCTGCGGGAGGCGAGGGCTCTCGTTGCTGCACGGAAGTCTGTGCACCGACGGCCTGCCCAGTTGCGCCTGGGCGGGAAGCACCGGCCGCAGCTGGTGCTGTCAACGGTGGGGACGCCAATGCACCGCCACTGACTTCTGTCGCTTCCTCATCCCCCTTCAACTCATTTTCTTTTTCATCCTCCGCCTCTTCTGCTCCCTCCTCCACCGCTGCTTCCTCTGCGTCGGAGTTGGGCGTGTTGTTAGGAGGTGTTGACGCGTCGCCTGCCCCTTTGCCAGCCTCCTGCGATAACTGAGGCGGCGCTTTCTCTTCCTCTTCCTCTTCCTCTCCTTCTTCTTCGTGGTGTTGGTCCTCTGGGGGGGCTGAGGGGGAGGTCCCCAGCGGGCTCTGAAGCAACTTCCACTTCGCTGCTCGGCGGCGCAGCTCCCGGGCCCAGCGCTTCCACAACGTCCTCCTGCAGTGCTGGATCCCCAGCAGATTCCGCTTCCGCTTCGTGTGACTGTTCGCCCTCAACTGTCGGGGGTCCGGCCGCATGCGGCGGCCCACCAGCAGAACCGCCATTTTTTTCCTGCGGGCCCTCCGTGCCCCCGCCGTCCTCCGTTTGCTGCTCACCGCCGCCGCCTTCCGGCCCCACTTCGGGAACAGGCTCCCCACCCTCAGAGGTGGGCACCGAAGGAGCCGCCTGCAGCTCGCGGCTTTCTTTCCCGGCAGATGGTCCTCCAAGAGCCACTTTGCTCCCTGCGAGCTTTCGGATCTCTTCACCAGTGAGCGCTTCATTGTACAGCAAGGTATTGGCCACCGTCACGTGGGGACCGGCGCTTGTGCCCGCGGCCGCACTGCCGTCGCCGAAGTAGAAGTGCGAGATCCTGTGCGGAGTGAAGAGTTTCCCCACCGCCACTGCGGAGTCTTCGCCGTCGTATACCTCGTCCCCGTCAACGTACACAAACAACTCATCGCCAGTACCCATTTGCAGTGCCACCTGATACGTTTTCTCTGTCTCCCACGTTGCATCTTCTTCCGACAACTCCCGGATATCACCGCCGACCGTCACTTTCCACTTCTTGTCCTGCGTGTACGTCACACCCAGGAGGACGGTGCTCGCTGCGTCATTCATCCTCACGCCCAGCAAAGGCGTGTCCTCCTCCGGCACCGTGTGGATCATCACCGACGCCACAAGCGTGAACCCGTTGTTCGCAAAGTAGTACGGCTGGTTCTGCCCCCTGCTTCCCACGGGCCACTCCGCCCCCGCTCCGGCGCCGCTGAACGTCACACCTCCCTTCTCGCTTGTCGCCGCCCCACCTTTCATCGTTGCGTTCACGCCGCGGTACTCGTCCACCCACGCAGTCCCGGCCAGTGTGTTGGACAAAAGGCCCACCAGCCCTTTGGTGGGAACAGGGCCGTTGCACAAGCCCGTCTCCCGTGGGTCGAGGTCTCCGCTGGTATCGCAGCCTTGCAAGGCGGTGTCCAATGCAGTCCAACTCTGCACCACGGACTTGATTTGCTCCAGCTGCTTTGCCAGGCTCAGAGATACGAGGCCGTAAGAGTCTCCATTCTTCTTCTCGTACAGTAGTATCAACTCCTCCTCCGGCGCACCGCTTCTGTACAGCAGGGAACTGGCAGCGGCGTCATCACCGGCAGCGGACACCGGTCCGACATCGTGCACGCGGGAATTGTCGGTCAACCAAAGATGCAGACGACCTTTTTCTTTGCCTTCCTCTTCCGAGTACACCGGCGTGGTGAGGAGC